CCTGCTGAAGATACAGGTTCTATTCTGTAGAACCTTTTACTGTTTGTAAATGAGGCATAAGCAACTTGGTGAACTTCTATGTTTTTAAATATAAAAATGAGACAACCACTGAATTTGCTTGGTTGTGGAAATGGCTGGCAATTCTAGACACATGACCAAGGGGGAGAGGGCAAGCAGTGTAGGTGCTGACTTGGGTTCAATCGCTTTCTCTCAAGCTTCCCAATGCAAACTTATGCCTCAGCTTCTCACCTGTAAAATAAGGCAAGTGCTTCTACTCCATGGGGTGAGAAGGAGCATATTATTTTTGGTTTTTGAGACACTTCACAGTTGCAGTTTTCTGGGTTTTATCTGTAGTTTGGCCTAGTATTTTGTAAGTGCTACATACAGTAGAAGTGAATACCTCACAGTATTCTTTTCTTTCTGCGAGTCCACGCAATAGACAGCTTTGTCAGATGCAAACAAAAGTCCATGTCTCTGAAACAGTCTAAGGTGGTACCCTGCTATTCTTCAGATTAACCCAGCTAACCAGCTCTCTGCCTTACAGCATGGGTGCATAAGTAAGTTATTCAAGGTAAACTGAAGAGCATAGCCTGCTCTTCCTACAAAGTACAAGTAAAGCTACCTTATACCTGCTATTTCTCATCAGTGTGACTTGTAAGGACAGTTACCAACAGTAGTTTAATCTGTGATAACTCATACCTTTCGAAGGGTTCATACATTTGCTATACTCTTTACACATGGTCACTCCAACATTATTTTGGTCAAGGGACTGAAAAGTTTTCAATTCATATTAGTATGCCTAGTTTATGGTCTCAGACGAGAGGCTTCCCTGTTACAATTCTTTATGCATTATCATAGGTGTGTCACAGATCAACAGACAAAAATCTCCACGTGTATACAGGTTGGTCCCATTCACCATACACACCTTTAATGAAACATTCTTCCCAAATGTAACATCCCCTGAAACTGTGAGATGATCCAGTTCAAGCATGTCTGGTATACTTTCAAACCTCCTCAGGTAATCTTGGACCTTTTCAAAGCAAAAACCAAGCAGAATTAGAGGGTGTGTTATCCTATACATTTTTTTAAAAAGAAGCTTAATATCAGGAGAAAATGCTGCAACAAGATGTTTAGGAAGGATGGGAGTAAATATATAAACCAGTCAGGCTTAATAAGCCCTTAATAAGCATTGCTACCTGCTGTCATAAGGAATGTATCCCAAAAAACATGGTGTAAACTACATCAGGTAGAGCAAACTTTTTTGCAGGTGTGCCCCACAGTCCCTAGCCTCCAAATGCCACTAGCATCCCTTCCTCTGCCTAATCTGCTGTTTTCTGCTGCCTTCCCTTTTCCCTACCAAACCAATCTGCCATGTACCATACAAAGACTGCCTATGCTACAGGCTGACCACGTCTGGAAGGGCTAGATCCAAAAGTCAGCTTACAGCAGTGTGACTTGTGCTACAACCTGCTTTTAGATTAGAGTAATAGCAGTGAATGCTGTGTAGGGGAGACTTTAAACCAGGGGCAGGCAATTATTTTGGGTGGAGGGCCGCTTACTGAGTTTTGGCAAGCCACCAAGGGCCGCATGACAGGCAGCCAGGAGCAGAAAAATATTTTCTAAATTTTTAGGGGCCCGGGGGGCTGGACAGAATGGCTTGGAGGGCCTTATTTTGCCCACCCCTGCTTTAAACTGAACTCTAGAATGAGCAAAATCCCATTTAGCCTTTCTTCAGGTGAAGCAAAGGATGATGTAGCATGAAATAACTAGCAAATAGGAATATACAAATGTTTAAAGCTACTTACCTGTAAAAATGCAGTGACCTGAAGAGGAGTGTTTTACACCTAAAAAGTGTGTCCAACATTTCACCCAACTAGACAATTGATCCAATAAAAGATATCACTGAAAAACTCACCCCTCAGATATTTCTGGAACCATACAGCTACAACAACCCTACCACAACACAGAAGACGTTGAAATTTGCCATTTACAGTGGAAAATCCGTAACAGCCAGACTGCAGTTCAACCCCTACTTCCTCAGCTTGTGCAAAAAACATATCCACAGGGGACTCCCACCTACAGCCCCTGGCTTAATACACTCAACTTCAAATGTGTGACAACTACACCAGAGACCTTGAGACAAACTGAGAACCATGCTTCACTTAACCTGTTCCAAAAGAGATCAACTTAAAACATGCTTACTCCACATACTTAAGAGTGAGACCTGACAAGAACCACTTCATGCCCAACTGCCTGGCCAGCATCTCTCCCAACTATATAGACAAAAGATACCACTAAAAACCCTTGCGCCTCATGCAGCTGCCACTCAGCTTAAGGTACCCCTCCATACCTTTTGTGAATTGAGTCTAGCAAAGGATTCTTTGAGTTCAAAAAGGTTGAGAACCACTCAAAGTAACTCAACCCATTTAACTACTGATAGATCGCTATTTGGGGCACTGTCTGAGACTTTTATTGCTAAATATTTTAATTTCATCTGGTTTTTATAATTCATTTGCATTAACTGTAAGTCACCCTGAGCTGTTTTTTGTTTGCTTTTTTTTTAGTGATGGTGGCATACAGATGAAATCAAAATCAATCAAATAAATGTGCACAGCATTTCATTTTCTACATCTCATAAATAAACGGTGTAACTTTAGGAGTTTACCTTGGTGAAAGAGCTTCCCAGTTTGACCAGAGGCACAGTTGGAAATTCACGTTTCTCACTCATTGTTAGGGATCCAGCATTAAGACTATACAGGTTGGACATCACAAGCAAGAGATCTGATGTTGTCTTGACTGGCAGAAAACGGCTGCGAGGTACATTTATGCCCAGAGAATTTTCAAAACTTTTAACAGCAGCACCAACTGCAGTTTCCAATTGAATAATATTTAAGCCTCCATCCAAAGTCTGAAAGAGAAAGTTGTACCATGAACATGGCCAGGAGACTAGAGGTGATCATGATCAGATTTGCATAGTCCAAAAACTGATGCTCCATTTTAAAAGGAGGCAGCTCTGTAGAATACGACATTCAGGAAACAGTAGAAGTTCAAGACAGTTAGATGCACATGAACAGTTCTGTACAAATCTCAGATACTCTCTGAAAAATTCTTCCAACCTGCTTACCTTTGGGTTCACAATGATCTCCATATCAATAGCATTCTGCTCTTGCAATCGTTTAACTGCAGACAGAGAAATCCACAAGTTGTTTGTATTGAATATTTTGAATTTTGACACAGATTTGAATTCATCAACGTGTGGTTTTGGGACCTGAGCTATTTCTACCAGTCTCAGTTTATTTTCATACTGTGTGAGCGTGCCACCCTGCAAGAGGCAAAACAAGTTTAAGTACATACAACTGCAAGGAGTTTTTGTCTATAAACCTACTGCTCAGACACAATTTGAACTCTGACCCATGTTTGCCCCAGCACTGTAATATCAAAGTAACTAAATCTTGTATACAAACTTATAGTACAAACTGGCCAGAACACTCACATGTGTTTAAACACTCACACTGCCCATGATACTGGCATAGAGGAAGAACTTTCTAATAGCATGTATCCACTGCTTATTCTGCTAATAGTTGATAGGCGGCTTCTACATGGTAGTAATTTTCAGGTGCGTTTAGGGGTATGGACAGCTTCTAACTCTTACAAAGTGCTTTTAGTTTGTAACACCTCAGTAACATATAGACACACAACTGCTTCACAGCCAAAAGCATCACAGTGATGTGCTTCAGTTATCCCCAATTCATGTAGGGTCATTTCTACAGTGCTACAAGCTAGCCTGAAGTATATCAACTTTGTGCATCATCTGTCCACTCAATTTATAGTGCTTAAAGCTCTATAAACATTTAATCTGTCTGCGCTAGATCTCTTAGGAGTCTTTGGAAGTTTTACTCTTTTTTTTTTTTTTTTTTTTTTAAGCAATCACCCTCAGCATGAGATGCATAATGAAACAATGGACAACTCTGCTAGGTTACATTGTAGGATCTAGTTTAAACACTCCCCACAGAAGGAACTAATGGTTGAAACAAAGCTATTCCAGTCAACTGGGTATTTCTAGCAACCTAGCAATTGCTACAATAGCAATATCAACCTCTTGCCTTATAGAGCCATGGGTATCAGAAAGTCCTATCCTTAAACCCTCAAACACAAAGAAATGCAGTGCAAGGCAGATCTTTGATAATAGTGTTAAATAAATATGGTACAAGCAGTGTTCTTCCCCCATGGTTAAAGAACACGGGACAAGGTTATTGCATGACCAGGTGTGTTGGTGCAGAACCAGTTTGGGACATGTAGTAAACATTCCTAGCACAAAGATATCTCAAATTGTTTCACAATTGACCCCTGACAATGCAAAGACCCAGGCTTGACCCATACTCCACAAGCTACTGGTTAGGGCAGGAGCCTTCAAGGTTAGAATTTTAACATATGCTGTATTTTTAAATAAGACTATGCAAGTCATTCAGGCAGATCTAAAACAGCAATGAAAACGTTGTTCTAACTGTGTGGTTCTCCACTTTTACCAAACCAAGGCTCCCATCTAACATAGGAAAGGCAGGGTAGTTGTGCCCCTAAGACTGAAAACTTGTGGGGCCCATACAGTAGGACACACACGGGCAGGGGTTGTATGGGATATGTGCACAGAGGTCATCAGACCTTGGACTGAACCACTTTCTGCTGTATCACTTTTAAAGTTAGCCACAGAACTGCCGACTGATTTGCAACTGACTGCAAAGCTTGCAACTCTTAAAAGCTGTTTCCGGTAGTATGCAAATTATAGCTGATTCAGGGGTGTCAAATTCACTAGAATCCATGGGCTGAATGAGCAGCATAGGGCAAGTCTGCAGACTGGATCAGACCTAAAACCCAAGCCCAGGCACCATCTGCAGTACATGGGGCTGGGGCCAGTGTACACTGCATGCAGCACACAAGCCATCCAGGGCATGCCACATGTGGTGTGCAGGTCTAGTTCAAGATCCACAGGTAACACACAGGCCAAATAATAGGACTCCATGGGCCAGACCTTTGACATCCCTGGCTTAATTTATTAATGTAGGAGAAAAATGAAACAATTTAAAATGGATGATCCAAGTTGGACAAATTTCTACTTACCTTTACATCTGCTCTTGTTTTATTGGTGACCTCCATGACAAATTCACACTGTTTTCCATTGGGGGGGTTCATCAGATGGTTAAGAATATAAAGATCCACAGTTGCACCCAAGTTATCGATATTAGACACAAATATGTACTCCTTCCCCTCTCCAATCAGAGTATCCAGCAGGCCAGAATTATAGAAACTGGCATAGATGTCACCATGCCCTGGGGGATACCATGCCTCTGTACTCTCTCCTGAATAAGATACATCCTTGGCTATTGGCAGCAGAGTCTCCTTATTAATTCTTGGATACCTACAAAACAACACATTTCATTAGATCTTATCCAAGGTCAGGCTGGTACAGAGCATAAAGTACAAGACACAGTGTAATGATAACATAGCCACCTGGGATACTCCAGATTTGGTATGCTTTAAAGTTATAAGACTTCCAAGGCTAGTTAATTAGATGCTCAAAACCTGGAAGAGTCTGTGCTTCCAGTTGGTACCTGGACAAGAAATGAAGATGCTGTCTACTTTGGCATTCATATTTAATTCAGTAGGAACTTTAGAAAGCCACACTCTACCGAGTCTGGAGCAACACAGCCTTCCTCTTCCACACAGGTTCAGAACATACACTGTGCCATTGCAGGAAACTGGTAATCAACTTCAGAACAAACTCTAAAATCCCACAACCCCCTTAGGACAAACTTTATTCTTGTCAAGAAGGTCAGGTTACAAGTCACTCCATGACTGTTCCACCCTATTACAACCAACCTCAACCCTTTGACCCTAAGGACAAGTTGTGAGAACAAGCCCCAAAATGTTTGTATTCCACTGAAAATTTCTTCACCAAAGTCAGATTTTTCACATTTTGCTTTTATGAAATATTCTGACTGTTCTTAGGCCTCCTCAGTTGTTAAAGCTCCAAAAAGGTTGAGCATGAAAGTAAGCTATTACAATGAATACCAAATAATAAATAAAGATATTGTTTCCTAGAACTCTTGCTTTTTTTTTTTTTTTTTTTTTTTTTTTTTGACTCCAAGACAGGAGAAAGATTCTCCAATACCTGCTTTGATTGAAAGTATAGATTTTCACCCGGCTATGGCTGTATTTCTGCAAGATTTTCTTTGTGTCTTCATCAGTGTTGAAGGAGTTCATTAGAACAAGAGGAACATCTGTGTTGTAGGTTTTGTTTAGATGCTGGGGGAGGGAAAAAAAAGGACATTCAGCAAGAATTACTGGCTTTTATTTTTGCAATCTAGAATCTCAAGTTTTCATTTTTTTCATTCGTTATTTCCAATCTGTTTTTAAAAGTTGGAGGGAAAGATCGCTTTTGTTTATTTATTGCCAATTGTTATGATTTCTGGATCAATATCATTTTTAACTGGAAAGCTCTCTATGTAACTACAAAAAAAAGTTATGATCAACACAATTATTGGAGGTCTAAAACTTGTGGGGGGGGGGTCAAGATTACAATTCTGTTAATTACCCAATTTTTAGTAGATATTACACACAAGGCATAGAAGTGCGCCCTGCTTTATCTTAGATAACCATATCCAGAATATTGTGCTCCCCTCTCTCTAAAAAGTTATTTTCCGAAGTCCTCATGCCCTCATCTCTATCTTGATCAGCAATTTAGAGCTTTCACAATTGGACCTCTAAGTAGGTCCTTTAAAAATATATTATAATCTTCCACCCACAAATATTGCTTTCAAGCTTCTCTGCAGATCGATGGCATGAACAACATCAAGAGTATGGAGCAGTTACAATGTTACAGTATTTGCTATTATAAAAGCATCTACCAACAGCTAAAATACGAGGGATGTTTTCTCATGTAGAAAGAACTAGAAACCCATCGAAAGAGTTCTGGAAAAAGACTTTCACTCCAAATACTGTTCACTCGCTCAATTTCCTATTAGCATTGCATTGAAAAAAGTATGGGCACATGATCACTTTCTTTAGAGCTAGGCTCTGTTAAAATAACTTTTAGTGAAACAAGCAATTAAAAATAACAAGCCTTGTTTTGTAATATCTGCCTCTTGCTACAGATATTATAACAGCTTATATTAAGTGCAGGCTCTCTATTTACAGACAGCAGCTATTAGGAAGTCAACTTTCAAGACCTGTGTGTATCTAAGAAACAAATAGGGAACACCAGACAGGATCTTAGTTGTTGCATGCCCTAAGTTTTAGTGAAGAAATTAAAGCATTTACTTTCACACAAGACTACTGGAATGACCTGCCTATGGGAGGACCCACAACAATGGTGTTTTGGAAGTGCCAGCCGAACAGTGTAGTTTACACGCCCACTTGCTACTGTGGAAAAAGCTAACAGAGATATTGACAGAGGTGTTCAAGTATTTCCTGTGCTTGAACAGGAAGTACTTGAACTATTTCATCCACCTAAAATGAGCCACATTTTAACTGTTACCCTCTCTTTTTGGTGCAGTTCTCCACATACCCAGTACAGCTAGAGAAAACCCATCTCCCTTTCTCTCCTCCACTAGCACCTCTACTCTAGGAGGTCACAGGATTCCCTTCCATCTGTTAATGAAGGTGGCAGTCCGTTTGGACCCAGCATCCCCAGGCTCCACTGACACCAAGAGCAGATCAGTGATCCAGTTCTAGTTCCCCGCTTAGGCAGACAGAACAATCCCACATAGCTGGCCAGTTTTTTTCTTTTAAAGGAGTCCCAGATTTGTCAGAAGACATGTTCTGATACTAGCAAGAATCTCAGATTTATATAAATGGTACAGTAATCTCTAACTCATTAGTCTCACATTGTAGCCTTTGTTAGAAGAGCACAAGAGTGTTACATACCTCAATCTGCTGAACTGTCAGGTCCAAGAAGGTGTTCTCATTCCGCACCCCAATAAGACTCTTGGGGCCTTTACAGCCCATGCTGGTGCCCAAGCCTCCATTGAGTTTCACAACAACCAGTTTGTTCAAGACAGATGCAACGCTGTCAGGCAGCCCTCGGGCCTTTATCTTCTCATAGGGCTGAATCTATAAGAGAGTAGCAATTACAGAAAAAGCAAATAAAACATTGTCAGAAGTGGCTGAAATGGCTTAAGCCTGCCCCCAACTAGTATCTTTAGGCTGCTCTCAGTGACCCTGCCCTGCCAAAGAGATGTCACTATAAATTCCTGCGACTCAAAAGGTCAACAGTTGAGTTCCGAACTGCTCTTTGCTGAGACTCTCAAGCTTTTAGTTGAAAGGAAGTGGCCTTCACCCATAAGCCATATCCACTCAAAACTGCTAATGAGCTTTGTTGGCAACAAATACCCACACTCATTTATTTGCAAAGTATGACTCTGAAGTGCTTAGTATATCATAAGCATGTTAAAAAAATTAGAAAGAAAAAAGAAAAAGTCCTTGCCTGAAAAGCTTATAGTGTACAGCTTGTGATAAACCAGCTCTCTTCTTGGAAAAATGTATTTTTAATTGACCTTTCTGCCTACAGCACTATCAATTTTATTTAAATGATGCTACTCCTTCACTTCCCAATCCTAGACCACAGAGGGTATGGAATAGGTGTGAACAGATGTAGGGAACAGACCAAGCAAACATTCCCTACTCACCATGATCCTTCCTCAGGTCTGCAGGAGGCAAGACCCTTCTTGCAAGCCTTTTAAACAAATCCAAGCCACCCGCCCACTGACAAGTCTCCCACTTGAAGTGTCTCTCTACAAGAAAGCAGATTGGCTTTCCTTTTGTAGAAGTCCTCTGACCTTTTTGCACTTCAGTCATGAGAGCTAACACCTCTGGCAAAATTTCAATAAATTCTGAGTCGGTCTTTAAACAAGCTAATTAAAGTAATCCTCCTCCTCACTGGTAAATAGCAAAGTGGAAATAATGAAGTTCAATCTCAACCCCTCTATTTTCAGGGTGCCCCATCCAATTGGCATCAAACTTTACAGAGAAGGTCTACCTTGATAGTAGATATAACCTATATATTTTAAAGTCAACAAAACTTTTTCTGGACTTCAGAGTGGAATACAAAACAGGTTTTATAATGGAAACTGCTGCTACTTTGATTAGCAAGAGCCTCCTCTCAAACCCATAATACCAAAATCAAGGTAATGTTAAAGTAATAACGATCAATCAAGAACTACTAGACCAAACCAAATAGGGCTGCATAATGTCTTTTTTACTCTTTCTTCAAAATGTCTTTTAGAAGTTTAACACACTATAACCAAATTTCTGATGTTTGAAAAAAAATGCAAAACGTGTAGCATGCTTTTAGTACAACAGTACTGAATTTATGTCAGTTTTGGTCAAAAGAACGTGCTTGGTCTGCAGCAAAGTTACAACCAGTATGGTCTGAAAAAGTTTAGAACTTCATGCTTGCTTTGGCTGACCCAGAGATAAGAAGGAAAAAGAAGCCTATGCTACAGGGGAACAAAGAAGTCCTACTCCCAGCTGGATATGGAAAAAAACCTCCACTGTATTGCCCAACAATGAATGCCACAGGTGGCAGATTAGGAGGACTCCCTTACATTACTGGAATTACACCTCCTGAGTAAATCAGGAACGACATATGGTAAACTTTCTATAACAATGATATTATCTTTTTCTTAGTTAGTTATTGTGCAACACAGTTTGAGGGCCATGACGCAATAAACTGAAGTAACTCCACTATTTTAATATCTCCCCTACAAGCAAAATGTTTGCTCAGATTCAGGTAACCAAGTCTGATTTAACATTCTTTTGAGGACAAATCTCTGCTCCCAAAATGTTTCAGTGTGAAGGCTGGATATTTGTGTTTAATATCCATAGCACTTCAGTGGAGGAATCTGGCATTTCTGATCAATTTTCCCCTTAAACAAGGGACATTTTAGAATTATGTTACCAAAGCTGGAAGATACAGTGTACAGCCCAAGACTAAGTGCCATATAACAGCAACAGGAAACAGAAGAGTGTTATCTACTTAATGGGTATGTTTTGAAACATAGCTCTGATATAAAACTGAATTAAAAGGTTAAGCACAAATAAATTGTGAGGCTACCTATTACCTCTTGGAAAAAGCTTTATTCTGCCACTAGTGGGACTTTTGCAAAAACAAACAAACAAACCCCCAACTTGCTATAGGCCCTGCATGTGGGTTTTTTCCATAAACTGCTGGAGAAGAAACACTGTGAAAGGCATCTGCCCCATGAACCACACTCTTCTATGCAGGAAAAGGGAGGAAAAAAAAAAAAAAAAAAAAAAAAAAATCAGGACTCAGTGGTACCCTACTGAAAAAATAAGCCAGCCCACATAGAACCTATTTTTAAAAAACATGATTGGGCAAGTTTTTCCTGAGTCTTGCCTATCAAAGTGCAAGCTAGAGAAAACAGCATGGGAGTAACCCGCAGCATACACATGTAGACCTGCTGTCATCACCCCACAAATGTAACTTTTACCTCTGATACTACTAATATAACGACAAATGAATCTTCAACAAGATTCCTCTAGATTCTAAATTTAATATCAGTATTTCAGGAGCTCTGCTCCATGATTCTGTTTCAGTAGAGATTTAAAATATTAATATCCCAGGATCTTATAGCAAGTTGTGAACTACTTACACACAGATTTTACATATACACTTTAAACAAACCAACAAATTGATTTAGTCTTCCCAGCAAGAACGTTATAAAGCTGAACACTCAAACCAGTCAATTTAAAAATAAAATAGTAATAAAAATAACAAAACCAAAAACAGACTTTACAACTATACCAGGGCAGCTTTTCAACCTAGTTGCAGCATCCTGATTTATTCTACTATAAACTAGGATTTATTATATACCACTATAATAAATAACATACTCTAAACTGTACAGAAATTGTAAGACTATATTAAGCCAGAGAAATAAACCCACCTTTGTACTATTTTGATCCAACAGCAGGTTTAATATAGAAATCTATTGCCATCAGTGTCTTTGTGCCAAAGTTAAATATTTAAGATTATAAAAGCCCCCAAAATGTATCAAAAGGCAGACACAAATGCATTAAACCTACAAAGCAAACAAAGTATTTTGTATGCAATTAGATCATTCAAATCAATATATGTTACTGGCTATTAGACAGCGACATCACCACCTACATCATGCCAGTAATAGTAGCTAAAGAAAAAGGCAGTGAACTTTCAGAGAAAGAGCAATGGCTAAGTTTTCCCAACATACATATGCAATGCCATACCAAATTGGATTTTAATAAAGACTTTGTTATCCAAAATTGTTTCTACAGCACCAAATAAAAGCCAGTAAAAGGCTCTAATGCTGCCCTCTCCTTAAATGTGAAGATGTAGAAAGCAGGCTCAAAGCAGCACGAGTTCTTCTAACCAAGCTTTTCCCTCTTTAGAAATAGCCAAGGAAGGATAGCAAGATACAGACTGACATTCATCTATGAACAGCTTGGCTCCCTTCATCCCACAACTCTTACCATTCAGGCCTTTTCCATGAACAGTAGTTGGCAGGGTGCATGCCTTCCCACTCAGCGAGACTTGTGGAGAACTTCACAAGAAATTAGAGGTCTTGAATTTAAGCTCTCCTCCCACAAATGGAGAGCACTATAATCCTACACCAGCATCCTATGATCTAGTTTACAGGGGGGAGTCATATGCCAGAAGTATGGATTGTCAATCTAATTGTAGGAAGTATTATTTCTAACATTTATGCTTATTTGTCTGTATCCTAATCAACAAGAGGAACTCGTGTATTGGCATTCAACTTTCGTATATCCATTAAAAAAACAAGGATATGTTGGACTTACACTATGCTATATGGTAAATCAATCTCTCTGCATGCATTTTTCCTCATACTAAGCTAGCACCAAACTCTTAACACGCCTTAGTGCTCAGAGTAAAAGCATACCAGAAAGGCAGGACTTAATGAAAATTAAATTGGTGCCAGCAAACATGTACTCTGTACCAGGGCCTCCCTAGTACAAAATGTGTGCATCTTTCAGCTTGCCAAGTCTCTGGAATGCATTGTTCAAAACAAGATGAGAAACTGGTTTACAAGATATGGATGAATACATGCAACTTTACTGATGAACATGCAATAAACAAGTCTGTTATAAATACTGGGGCTTTGTATAGATGTTCTGGATTTGCTCTACCGAAACACTGTCATTGCATAGTCCATAAGATTGGGAACTTATACATGCCATAACCAAATAATGTGGGCTTGCTCAAACTGGCTTCCTGGACTTTCTCTTTACAGTCACCAGAATTTACAATTCAATTTGCAACTGATTGTCACCAGAATTTATCCTGGGTTCCAATACTGCTCAGCTACATACACTGACACCAAGACAACCAAAGCAAGGAAAAGGTTACTAAAACTCAGCAGCTAAGTGTAAAATTCTGAGTCAAATTTCTTTGAATACCTAGATCCAAGAACATTAAAAATAAAAGACCATTTCAAACTGCCTGTATAAGTAGTTTATGTTCTACAGTTAACAGTGCAGTCCTTCATCACCAGAGGCATAACTGGCAACCCTTACTTCATTCAACTAAAGCTAAGACAGAACAAGCCTTCAAGTCTGAAATGTTGCTTTATTTAAAGCCTATACAAAAAAATCCAATTTCTTCTGGGAAGAGACATGCAGAGTTTTTAAATAAGTCCAAAGTTTAATTTAAAAAATGCTAATTTTAAAGAAGTTTGAGTATATGGATTATGTTACACTGCTTACACAGACTGCCAACTACTTACAGTTGATGCAAAGAAAATGTAGAACCAATGGAATGCAATATCAAATCAACTGTGATATTTTAAAAACAAAATTATGCATGTCTCATGTAAAACAATGGAAGTGACCTGCCAATACTCCATGTGGAAAGCTGTGACACTGCATGGATTAACAGTTTTATCTAACTGGGTAATTGAGTGTCAGCAAACCAAAGTCACATGTTGGACTATCTTCAAATGCCTTGCTTTAGGCAGAGGTGGGATGTCAGCATAAGACAGACAGACAGACAGACAGACAAGTGTTCAATTCAATTAAGATAACAATAGCATCAT